CACACGACCTAAACACCAAGTAGCAAGTTTGTTTATAAAACTGCCTTTAATTCAGTAGAGCAAATCATTTCTCTGAAACATTTTTTTGGGGGGAGTTCAATAGTGGTAACTCTAAATAAGACCTGTCTTTACACTGCTTCACTTATTCTTAAATCTTTTTTTAAAAAATGTAGAACCTGCCACTATCAGCTAGTCTTCAGAAGTCTTTTACTCCCCTTTTAGTTACTGTAGCTTCTTTTTAGACTGAAGTTACCTATGGCTCCAGATAAAGAGGTCAAGATTTTGTGCTTAATATATTGCCAAATTCTTACAGAAATTTCACTGAAGCAAAAGGAGGCTGTTACTAAAATTTAAGATGTTTACAAACCTTTTGCATTTGTAAACTCATCTCTTACAGTGCAGTACACACATTAAAAGTCACATTAAATGATACGTAAATTCTCCATTTCTACATGAAAGCTTCCTGTCCCTTCAACTTCACTGAGGCCTGGAGGCTTAAACAAAATCCTTTTCAGATTATTGCTAATGCTGTGCCTGATTCTGCAGCAACTGTTGCTTTTGAACAATATGATGCTTCTCCTCTCCCAAGAGAACTTGAAAATGCCTCTTTTGCAGCACTTTCCACCCTGGTAGACTCAGGGAGCACGAAAACAGACCGAGAGATGAACCTAGGATTTCTGTTTGGGAATTCAGCACACAACTTAAAAACTGTTGAGTTTATCCACATTCTGACATTGACTTTCATAGCAACAGTTTAATTTGGAGAAAGTCTGCTACCTCAAATGGCTAAGGGTATTTATGTGGAAAATTTTCCAAATGATCGACTTTACTGTGCTGCTGTTTTCTTCCTCCATGAACGTGTATTTGGCTTTTTCCCAGAAGTTTTTCTATTTCACTTCTCTTTAAGCAAAGAAATTTTGTATCTAGAGAGGAAGAAGAAAGAGGCACTGAGAGTTTCCTCTTCTAAAGGGAATTACTATTTGAGTTTACACCATAGCATCCCTAAAAATGAAGAACTTGAATGTGTCTCCTGTTTCCTTAACCTTTCCTTGGGCAAATCTTTAAGGTGGTCAGAGTAATCTTGATCACTTTGGAGCCACTGCAGCTGCTCTGTGCTTCTTCCAGCACCACCCTGCTTCCCTCCTGCTCTTTTGCATGTCTTACTGAAAGAGTTATCTCTACTCCTCTCTCTCTCTTCCTCACCTCTCACTAATTCCTCAACCAACTCTCTACTGACTACTCTTGCCAAGATTGACAATGGCTCCCCATTATTTAATCCCATGATTATTTTGGATTACAATTGATCCTTCTATAGATTTTGACATCGTCGATCCCATTTTTCTTAGCTTCTTTGCCACCATTTCTCTTTATTCTCCTAAAGAGTTTCCTCATTCGTCCCTTATTTAAATGTTGTTTTCTTGGGACTCCTAGGCTGACTTTTTTTCTTACTCTATACAGGCATACCTTACAGATATTATGGGTTCAGTTTCAGATCACCACAATAAAGTGAGTATCACAATAAAGCAAGTTGTAATCTTTTTGTAGGCGGGGGTTTGACTTCAGTTTGTAAAATACACAACATCTGCAAAACACAATAAAAGGAGGTATGCCTGTACTCTCTTCCTGATTGATATCATCTGCCCCGTGGCCTCAGTTCCATGCTGCTGATGAGATTCCCATCTATTTCTCCAGGCCAGACCTTGTGAAGGCAGGTCTATGTCCATATCTAACCTAATTCCTTCTCTTTCCTGTTTCTCTTTCTAAATTCCCATTTTTAGTGAGGGACTCCATCGCTCACCGTGCAAGACAGAAACCTTAACTTCTTCCTTTATGTCTTTTCTCCTTTCCCATAAAACTCCTATTTATTTTCTTTTCTACATAAATTTTAAATTCATGTCTTCTCCCTACCTTCTACCAGTACCCCTCCCCATGCCCTACTTCAAGAAACCATCTACTTGCATCCGGATAACCCTCTCTGGTCTTGCTTCTTTACAATCCATCCTCCATATCGCTAAAGAGATTTTTTTCAATCATTGCCTTCCACTGTAAGCCCCCATGCTTGCAACCTCCACAATCTGGCCCCTTTGACTTTCCAGCCTCAGTTCTTGGCACTCCCCACCTTGCATCGTTCATTTTGGGTCATACTGAATTTTACCTCTGGGCCTTCACATTCTGTTTATGCCTGGAACGTTTTCTATTCTCTCCCCTTCCAGTGAATTCCTGCTCCATTTTGAAGTCTGAAAGTGAGAGCACTTCCTTTTGGATGCTCTCCTCAATGTTCCAAGTTGGGCAAAGCTGCCTCTCTCATGGTTTCTGCCCCATTGTCCCATCAGAGCAAGAGCCATCCTCATCATAATCACCTGGGTCTTTGTATCCCCATAAGACTGTCACCTCTGTGAGGACAGGAACATGTTTCCTGTGTTGAAATTGTACCTTCAGTGTCTTGCACATTTGATTGATGCAGAGCGGGGGCTCAATGTATATATTTGTCGAATGAATGAGCCTCAACATAAACCATGAACCAACCTTCTTTATGATACAGGTTCAAATTCCTTACTCTCATCTGCAATTTCTTCCTCACTAGTAAAGTTCCCCTAACTGAAACAACTATTGCTTTTCTACAGAGCAGACAAAACTTTATTGCCAACAAAGCAACCTATATATCCCAAAGGAAGAGAAACTTTCCAAAGGTTCTGAGAATTAACATATGGTAATTCTCAAATCCCTGGATATCTTTTAATTGAACCTTCACAGTGGTTCACTTAGCTTGTACTCAGTGCTTAAATTGAGTAGAACCTCATTAGGGAGATTGTGTCATGCCTTAGTGAAAACGGAGAGAATGAGAAATATAGCTATGACATGGAGGCATAGGAGAAAGGGAGCACTTTGGTCCGTGGATTCTTTTAATCTGTGTGTCGGACTGTACTGACTCCTGATATGGAGATGATAGGGAAGATAGCCACAGCTATGGATGGACATTGCTTAGGAGTTTCCTTTTATATCCCATTCTGGGTTTTGTACTCTACAAAAATCAACTGCATGCTCCCCTCTTTTCCTCTCTGTGTGTTTCTTCTTCAGTGCCAGCCTTAAGAGCAACCCGGTTTCAAAGAGTTTTCCTCCCCAGAAGCAATTCTCCCCAAGGGAAAGAACCAGCTCAGCCTGCCAATACTTTTCTGCGCTTCTCTTGATCGCTCATTAATAATTCACTCCTGTTCTAGCCACCTGAACTCTTCCCTTGTCAGGGCTGTGACTAGGTGAGGCAAATCAGGTTCCCAGGGGCAAAATTTAAGGAGTCACCCACTTTCAGATGCCAACCCTGCACTTAAACAAGCCTGAGTGTGAGTGCCTCCCTTGACTCACTCTTGTTCTGGCTTTTTCTGTCAGGAAGGCTGGCCTTCCCTCAGCCATTATGCCTTCCTGTCTCTCCAGATCCTAATCCTCCAGACCCAGCTCAGGTGCTGCCTCCTTCATAAAGCTCTTGCCAAATCCATCAGTCTTTCCCACAACCCAGTAAGTAGTCATCTCACTGTTCTCCAAATTCTCAGTGAACCTTATTTATACCTCTCTAAAGCGCTGTGTACCTTGTTTGGTTCTTATGCTTGTCTTTTTGTCTCTGTTAAACTATACACTTCTTAAGAGCAGATTTTATTTTTCAGTGTGCTCACAATAGCACAAGGTTTGACGCATAGGTATTCATTAACTCAGTGAGGTGAGTGGAATGATCAAAGGGAGAAGAGAGACTAGTATTAGAGGTTAATTGCATGAGGGTGGGAGGGGAAGTGGTCGGCATGGGCTCTGGGGCTGATCTGCCTGGGTTTGATCTCTGCTGCTGCCACTTACTAGGTGTGAGAACTTGGATAAGTTGCATCACCTGTCTATGCCTCCATTCCTTTATCTTTCAAAGGAGACCAACCATGGTACCCCAACATAGGGCTGTTGTGAAGTCTAAATGGGCTGAAACATGTAAAGCACTTAGCATAAGACTTGATACACAGAGAACATCTCAATAAACATCCGGATCCAGAATAAAGAGTCTAGTGACGATACATCCTTGGAAAATGCAGGGGTGCACGCTAAAAGCAAAGCACGTCTGTGACTCACGTCAAAAATAAAGGTAAATCTAAATCATCAGTGATGGGAGAGAGAGGCAATGGCCTCTCTGAAGAACCCAGGTAATTAGTTTTTTTTGAAAAGACAAATCTCATCTCTTTAACTCAGTAGAAGGGTAGCTTGAGCAAGAAGAAGGCAAGAGAGACTGCCCCAAAAAAGGCAGCAGAGGAGGCCCAAATGAGCCTGGAGATAATAAAACAAGTATTTAAATGTGCCCTGTTTAATATCTGCTGATTTTAAGGAGGATGGAAACATGAAGCTATGGGAAAGTCATGTTTTTGCTGCCATCTACAGTCAAAGTGCAATTTTCAAAGTTGTCGTTGTTTTTCTTTTTTTTTTTTTAACACGCAGAAAAGGCATTCTTGACAAAAGGAGTGACTGAAATATAGTTTGATTTAAGTTCTAGTAATTGAGATGAGTTGGGCATATTATTATAGTATTTTATTTACTATTCTTTCTAAAAATATGCATATTTAATCAGTAATATAGCCTTTTTAACATCTTGAATTGTGTTAAAACTCATCAGAAGACTGCTATAATAACTCACTTCAGAGTTTCATCTGTCAGATTGGATTAGCTGCAGGCGTGGTAGCCAACAGAAAGCTTGAAGTAAATACAAAGATTTCAATGAAGCAAGAGATAGATAGTATTTTACCCCATGTTTTCCTGTTCCATGACCTACAGTTTCTTTGGTTATCATCAGAATTATTGTAAATTGCATTTTATATAAGTGTCTTTTATTATTTGGATATGAGAACTCTAAAGCAAGTAAAAACAAAGTATGACTGTGATGTCACCTCTGAGATGCCTTCTACCACTTTACTTTTATCCGTGTAATATGCAAGATTCTGATGATGTTTTCTCAACTTCCCTGTGCATTATTTTTAAAGGGTTAAATATAGACAAGAATTATTGGAAAAGCGTTTGATGGAGAAAAATGAAGTGGCTCTTCAAGAAGCGCATGAAGAAGCAGAAAGAGAGAGGCGGCTAGAAGCCCTTAGGAAACAGGTGTTTTTCATTTGGAAAATTTCATGGCTGGTTTAAGAAATGTTTCTAAGTGCTCTTAATAATATTATTACTAGGGCTTAGTTCAAGAGATTTGCTATATAAAATGCAACTTTTCCAAATTGGGACACTGATCTTAATTCCTGGGAGCAATTAGATTTATGTTGAACCATTTCGAGTTTCTTAGTATATTAAAAGAACTTTATTAGCACCTTTTTAAAAGCTCTCTCAAGATTTAAACACATCCACATTACCTCTAGATTAATAGCTGAATAGTGTCCATTTATGGCAGTGAAACTCTGCATCTAGCCAAAGGATTTTACTCTCCTCAAAAAACCAGGTGGAGCTTGAGCAAGATAATCCTCTTTGGAGTAGGAACTTCTGTTTGGAAATATCCCATGGTCAGTGATCATGTTAAAAAAACACATTTAAAAAATACTATTTTCATGGAAAAATTAATGTCTTCCATTGCTTTACCTAGTAAAAGTAGATAAAAGTTTTGAAAATAGAGAGTAGGTGGCAGAATCAGGGCTTTAAGAACTTGGGAAATATGACAAGATAGTTTTACTTGGTAATTTTTCAGTCTTTGACCTGGAAGTGATTAGCTCAACTCATAAGCTCTGAAGTCTTCATTGACACCATTTCCCAGCTGATAGGAAATGACTCTCTGGTTTCCAGTCATTGTCAGTGGAGGCAATGTAGAATCTTAGATAAGAACTTGGCCTCGGCTGTCCAAACCTGGTACAACCTGGTTCACTACTCACTGGCGGAAGCAACTTAGATCTTTTACTTAACCTTCCTAAGTTTCATTTCCTCCTCTGAAAAATGGAAATAATAATAGTCATACCTGCCTGATAAGTTTTTAGTAATGTTCATTGACATATTTTTGAATATTTACTAAATACAAAGTCCTCTTCTAAATGCTCTTAGGTTTTACCTCCTTTAATTTCTACAAAACCGTATGACGTAAGTATTATCAATATTCCTATTTTCTAGAAGAGGAAACTAAGGAGGGACAGAGTTTCCCCAGAGTCATACAGCTAGTAAATGTGAGACTGGATTCAAACCAAGGAAGTCAAGTTAAGTAAGATAGTATAGAGGAAGTGTAAATGCATATAACTATTATATTATCTTCTTTGATAAAATAGATTCGAGAAATACATTAAAAGCATAGGAACATAAGTCCTGGTCATCCTAGATTCAACAAAATTTGAATTATTTGGTTATTAGCAAATAATTATATACCATGGTCTTCTGGGGACAATACAATGTCACTATTACTAAACATATTCTTGTTCAAAATATAGCCTTGATAACTACAGTCCATATGATTAAAATTCTTTCCATCTGTGAACCCTTTGGAAAAGGAAATATCTGTGTTTATTATTTGTAACCAGTGTTTAGAACTATAGTATGAAATTTTGGCTAGGAAACCTATAATAACTAAAGTATATTCAACTCCCCAGTATGTTCAGCTCCCCAGTTACGTCATTGTAGTTTCTAAATAGCATTAAAAACGCTTTTTTATTAATGCTAATTCTTGACTTCAGGAATTAACAGGCAAGTGTTACTAATGGTACATATGATTTACAAAATTAGTGGCCTCTTCAATAGGAGGCAATTTTAAATGATTTTAATTATCATAAAGAACAAGAGCGTTTGGGTTAAAGTGTCTCTGCAGTTTTTCAGTAGAAAGGGGAGCAATGGTTTATAACAGTTCCTGGAAACCTAGTCGCCTGGTACAATGGAAATTTACCCATCTTGTCCGATAACGTCAACACTACCGACCCTACCCATGATTATATGATCTAGATTTAGCTTAATCTGATTAAACTTTTTAGAAAATTTTAGGAGGTTGTCAAGATGGTCATAGAGTGCTAGTGGTTAAAAATTAATGTTTTTTATTTTTGTTTACTTTCAAGTTGTTTAAATGTGTAGGTTTTCCATATAAGATTTCCTGTGACTTTACATCAGAGTGACAAATTTTTATCTAAATTTAATCTTAACAGTAACTATTCAATTATTAGCAAACCATTATATATCACAGCCTTTTAATGTTATATTTTGTTTTTAAACTATCAACTCCTTTGTGGATCTCTAGGACTGACCTAGTTTAACATTCTTTTTACCTTTCCCTCATAGGTTTTATCTTTAATAAAATTTGTTAACTTTGATGGACATCGAACATTAATAATATTGTCCAGAGTAGTTAGCCTGTATTTAGTTCCCAGTAGCCATGCTTTCTCTTCTTTTAGGTTGCTATTGTTGCTCAATTTGATCCTGTTAGAATGATGTCAGATACAATGGCATCAAAAGCGAAGATGGGTATTGGAATTGAAGAAGAATTTATTCTTCAAAAGCCCCTCTTCACATTGAACACATACAATGAACAGCAGGTAACTATGGGAATTAGCATTATTGATGCAAAAGCCATGATGATAAGAATTGTAGAAGTGTGTGTTTCTGGTTACAATCATTTTTAATACTTACTTTTCAATATTATATGTATCAGCATAATTTTTACTTTTAATGATAGCACATAATTCCTACTCAATCCTTATAAAATAGTTTATAACATTATAAAATAATTGATAGGTGACCATAGAAAAAACAGATTATCTGGAAATATTATGAATTCATCATTGAAAATTATTTTTAAATTTAACTTTAAGTAAAAAAATTTGACTTTAAAGTTGTGTTAATATTGTATATCGTTGGTAAATGCTTTTCTATCGTATTCAGAATTTATTTAAATTCATAAATTAAATCCTTTTAAAGAAACAACTGATGCTGATAAGAAAAAGCAGAGGGAAGCTTTCAGAAATTAAAATGAACAGAAAATAATACATCAGAGCTAATGATAAAATAAAACATTTTCTATGGAAAAAGTGTTAAGGGGTTACTTAACCATGTCTAGGAAATTTGGTTCATTTTAATCTGTTCCTATATCTGAGAAGGGATTTTTAAAAGAGTTTTTAGTTAGATGGATAGAACGGAGGGAGGACAGATGAATGAATATGTATCCCCGAAATTAATAAAGTAGTTGTTAATTTTGCAAATCTAAGGAGAGCTGCTAAATGCTTATTTAATTATTTAAAATGTAGGAAACTTCATTCACCCATTGACAAATTGAGTGTATTTCTATTATGTTTTGCATACTTCGCTAGGGAATAAAAAGATGAACAACTTATTTATTAATTGGACAAATATGGACGGAACATATACTATATCTGGCACTGTGTGAGATGTCATCCTGAACAAGACAAGACTTGTCCTGTGTGGAGGAAATGAGCAGGGGAGCTGGGTTGGAAGGGACAGTAATGTGTATCAGAATAATGCCACTAGGTTGAGATCAGCATGCGAGGGAGATTTCCATTTTACTTTGTTTATTCAAAAAATAGGATAATGAAAACATTTTAAACCTCACAATCCCAGAGTAAAGAAGAGAGGTGAATCCTCTCTTAGGGAGTCAACAGCACACACAGATGGAGCATGAATCACTAGAAGGTGTGAGTGACCAGGGAGACTATATTGCAGTAGAAAAGGAGAAACCTAGGTCTCAGGTTCACATATGTTGGTTGTCAGAAATAAATCTCTGTATTATTCTTGACTTACAGGCATCGTTGCTCCTAGTGACTGTATCTGATCAGTTGCCAAGTTTTATTAATTCTTCCCTTCACAGTATTTCTGACAGTTATCTCTTCCTTGCTACCAGCAAGTTTAGGCTTTTATAACTTCATGTCTAGACAATTGTAGTAGATCCCTAATCACTCTCCCTGCCTCCATCTCTTCTTTCCCTGCCACTTTAATTTATCCTGAACTTACAATCAGATCCACGTTTTTATAAAAGCAATGACGATGATACTTCCATGCTAAAAACAGAAAAAACACAATTTCAATAGCTCCTCAGACTCCTTGGCATAGCCTTCAACCCTTTAAAATTCAACACCCAGTCTTAGAGGTATCCTTTTCCAGTGTTTCCTAATGTAGGTACTTTATGCGAACTATCCAGATCTCAAATTGACCTATTTCACCTCTAAATTTGCATGTACCTGCCTTTCCTGCTCAATGTCTCTTCTTCCCCATCTGCTTCATAGATGAATAAGTTGGACTTTACAGTTAGTTCAAGTGCTCCCCCTTACCCGAGACCATGCTAACCTCAATGGCATCAGGAGATATACCTACTCTTGGGGAATCTGTCACGTGTTACCGCAAGCTGTAGTTATCTGTATACAATCTTATTACTCCTATGAAAGAGCTTCTTGAAGGAGGGGCTGCTTTCAACACCTTATTACGCAATCCTCTAGGGGGACTTCAACTCCACATAAAATGTTTCACTAGCTGAAATCCACATGCGACTACCTTCTTATCATTGCAAACAGTACTGTTGACATTTAATATTCATGGAAGGAGGAATAAGGTCCAATCAGCAATAAATGAAAACAGAAATCGAACTACTCGTGTCTAGTCCTACTTAGAATCATATTGACGGAAGCATTTTCTAGTTCTGCTTGAAATAGAAATCTGGCCTTGGAAGAAAAGTTTTACTGATTTTTGTTTTTCAAGTATGTCATGTGTTTAAACTTAATTTATGTATTATCAAATGATGGAGAAATTAAAATGTTTATTTAAAGACAGATGCACAAGTTTGTAGTTTAGATTTATTTTAATCAATTATTGTCTATATTTTCTAATTCTAGCTATCAATAAATAATGAATCAATAATAGTATTGAAAGTAAGCTTCTTTCATCTTATCTTTTAATAATTTTAATGTGTTGTATTTTGACTAGTATACAGTATACTATATATCTTATGTTGGAAACCACTGATAACCCTGGAAAGTGATAATGTTAAAAAGGTTTGGACATTTTCAAAAAAATAACTAGAATATAGTCACTGCATACACAAAATTTATTGTCATCTGGTCATCTTTCCAACAGAAACAAAATATGTAACTTGGGAAAATATGGAACAAAATGATAAAATTTACTTCGGTTCAATGAATTGCTATTTATTTAAATTGTATTTTATTTCTACAGATAATTTCTGACCCTAGACTTCGTTTTGAGTTAGCACTCCGAGAAGCTGGACTTCATGAAACCTTTTATGCCAAAGAAATGTTACCAAAAATCAGTCCTCAAAAACCTCCAAGAAAGGATATGGAGTCCACTGTATTTAAAATCTAGAGCTCATCCTTAAATCTTATTAGACATAAACAAAGTTTTTCTCTGAATACATTTATATGGATAACAAATAATTACTACTTTAAATTTTTTTAAATTTCATACATAGAAATCATAACACCTATTAAAACAACTTTGCCTTTCTTTTATGATTCTTAGAATTTTATGCACTATTTCCAATTTCTTTGTTATGTTTAATAGTACTAAATTCTCCAAGAGTATGGAAGTTAATTATGACACATATGGTACGTATATTATTATTTAGTAAAATTGTGTTTTGGAAGTTGTGTTAACCCATGAAAAGAGCTCAAAATAACCATTTGTGAGAATTATAATTTATGTTGCTGCCAACTGCTAATGTTCATTTTTGCTTGTTATTTCAGAATTTGACTTTTTAATTATGAAAGCTTCATTATCATTAATACTTCTATTATTTCTCGATTATTATAAGAGGAGACTCAACCTTTCTCTAAATTTAGAAACCAATTTGGTACACCATGTTTACTGAAAACCAATCATCCAAACAATTTCATTTTGCAAATTAGCCCATAAGAATAAATTAGAAATTAGAAATAGCATTTCAAGCATGGTAATATGTGTTCTGGCTTGGAAAGCAATGTGTGTGGTTGTTTAGGAGGAATATTTTAAAATTTATAATATTTAGAGTGCTATAAAAATTTCTACATTATCTATTAAATATCTAGATGATTTTTGTAGAAAGGGAGTATTTCAAATAAAACTCAAGCATATTTTTTTCCTATTTCTAAAGAACCACACAAATCCGAGTAGCTGGTGATGCACAGCAGGAAGCAATGCTGGCATTTTGAGAACCACAAGGTGTTATACTTGTGTTTATCTCAACATTAGTTGAGATTTGGGCAGTAGCACAGCTGTTGCCATGCCCAGACTCAAACCTTATTAGTTTTCTTTCTTTTTAAAAATAGTATTAATGGTTACCACTTATTGAGCACAAACTGTGAGCTCAGCACCACATATACACACTTTATAGATAATGTCTTATTTGACCATCATAACAACCTTATGAGAGTATATCCATTTCACATAGGAAATAGGTTCAGAAAGGCAAAATAATATGGCCTTGATCAGTTGTTTTTCAAACTGTGAATCATTAAATCAATTTATTGAGTCAGCATCTTTTAAATGAACCAAATTAAAATAAATCAGAAATATAGATGGCCAATAAACATATGAAAAGATGGACATACCAGTTAAAGCCCCAAATGAAATGATCCAAAGATATTAGACACCATCCTCGATCCCATGGTTCATAAATGGTATATAGCCTGATTCAGCATCCCAGGTTGGAGGATAATGGGCTTGTCTCAAACTGAATGGAAAGAATGTAATCAATCCATCTGGTAGGAAGTAATTTATGTTCCTACCACCAAATCTGCAAATATACCAAACCTTTCATGTGTGTTTTGAATTTCATCCCCTCTCAACTCCATGAAAATTTCTTTTTTCACTATACTCTTTCTTTCCTAGGTCTTCTAGGTCTCCCTCAGCATACATACATGCTCAAATAAATTCCACTTTAAAAATCAATCTCCCTTAACCCCACATTTTCCTTTAGCTATCAGACTATTTCTCTGCTCCTCTTCTTAGGTAAACTTCTTGGAAGAGTTGCCCGTAGATATGTGGTGTCTTCTCTTCTCACTTTTCAGTTACTGTCACTCATTCTGGTTTAGCTTTGGTCTCAACCTCCACTGACACTACCCTTAGCAAGATCACCAATGAACTATATATTGACAAACTTGATGACCATTTTCAATCTTTGTCTTTCTGACAGCATTTAACTCAATTGGCAATGAACCAATCTTCGAACATGCTCTTCTCTTGGCTTCTGTGACGCCAGTCTGCTTTACCTCCTGCTTTAGTCACTCTTCAATCTCCTTTGCTGACCCCCCCATCTCTACTGATCTCTAAATGTTGGAGAGATCCAGAATTAGATCTTTTAACTCTAACCTTTTTTTTGTCAAATTGCCCAAGGGAAGATTCTGAAATACTATATTTGGTTTTAGCTTTTATGTTATATCTATTGAGTGCCTTTTAATCTGTAGGCCTCCCCTTTCATCCTTTTTTTTTTTTTACCTTGAAATTTATTTGTTGAAGAAATTTACATATAGAATTTCCCATGTTGGATTTTCTGACTGTATCCTCTTGTTATAGTTTAATCTATTCCTCTATGTTTGCTATAAATCGGTAGTTATATTTAGAGGCTCTATCAGATATTGGATTTAGGGTTTTTTTAATGACTACTTAATTGAGGTGCTGTGTTCACCCATCAGGATGCATACATTATCTGTTTGAGACTTGTTTTGAAATTTTAGCTAATACTAATTTTATGGATTAATTAGATCCATCAATTAATTATGGATTGCATGATAGAAATATTAGAATTTAATCACTTCTTCCTTCACTAGTGGGAAACCTTATATAAAGAAAAAATTTCCTTTTCTGGTATTTAGTAATATAAGAAAGGTAAGCTAAGTGTTTGAGTTTTTTCCTTTATTTAACTTATCATTTTTCCAAATGAGTTGGTTTTCTAACATCTTCCAAAGGTGATCAGTTTTGTTGTATCTTTATGAAGTCACAGATTTAAAAGTATTTGATGTTTCAGTCCATTAAAGTATTATGCTTATTGCTACTGAAATGATCTCCTGATTTCTCAGTGAAAGCCTCTTCAGTTTGGCACATAGGTTCTTTTGAGACAACCTGATAGACTTGATAATTTCCTTGCTATTCCAGTTATTTATTGGTTTTTAACAAAATGTAGTGGTTCAAAACTACAATTTTCTACTATCTCTCGTGCTTTTCTGGGTTGACTGGGCTTCAGTGTAGGTTTCTTGCTTGGAATTTGTGTTAATTTCATATAACTGCTTAACAAATTGCAACAAACTTAGTGGTATAAAAATACAAATTTATTATCTTATTTTTCTGAAGGTTAGAGGTCTGCATTGGGCCTCACTGGGCTAAAATCTAGGTGTTGACAGGGCTGCATTCCCATCTGGAGAGTATAGAGGAGAACATGACTTTTCTGCATCAGTTGTGATGATTATGTAGTTTTTCATTATTAATGTAGTGTATTACATAAATTGATTTTCACATGTTGAACCATCCTTGCATTCCAGGAATAAATCCCACATGTTCATGGAGTACAATCCTTTCAATATGCTGCTGAATTCAGTTTGCTAGTATTTTGTTGAGGATGACATCAACATTTTTAAGTACTATAATTTTGTTTTTTAAAAAATAGAAAGTTCTTCATTTGGGGGTCTTTGTTTTTAGTTATAATTTTAAAAATATTTCTTAGCTTCTATTTTCTTTAAGGATTTATCTGTTATATTTTTCATTCATTTATTTTTTTAGATTAGTCTAATTTCTTAAATGTTTTTCTTTTATTTATATTTTTTCCCTGAGAACATATCACCTAATTTCTCTGAGTTTTCCTAATTCTGATTAACATTCTTTCTTATCTTATATCATTTTTGTATTTTTTAACTTTTAGGTTATAATTTTAATCTATGTTGTGGTAATATCTCTCTGGTGTTCATTTCTTATCTATAGGGATGTTATGTTTTGTAATCTGTTTTTTCAGGTTAACATAAAAATCTGATCCTTTTCTTTGCTCATTTATGCTTGAAATTAGTTTGCCTTAACTTTTAAAAGTATTTACGGCTCAAGATAGTTCTTTTAACTTTACAGCTTAAGAGTTCTCTCTTTTGCTATATTTGTGCAGGGTTCAAAAAATGCTGGCAGCTTATTTTCTGGAGAGAAGTTCTCCTCTACTTTTATCTGGACAGGCTATTTTCTTTAACTCTGTTATTTCTGTGGTGATCAATTGGATTCTTCTTATAGCAGTTTCTCATCATTGTTTTGACTAGTTAGTCTGGGAATTCATGGGGCCCGGACTCCTCTGGAACCTTAAGACTTTACTGCAAACTCCTCGTACTCATTTTTTATTAGAGAGTGTAAAACTCTCAGTTTCAGCTTAAATGGTTTCCAATGAGTGTATCTTGGCTCTTTTCGGGTTCTCAGGTCCATCCAATACCCCTTGCTTTCTTCCTCGTCCTGCAAAGATGTTGGTATAATTAGGTCTTATAGTTGTCAGTGGTTACTCTTTAACCATTCATATTTGTTAGTGTATGGGAATATCTTGTCATTTACTATTAAGGATTATCCTCATGGGTTTTTGGTGGTGTTGTCTTATTTTTTGTTTGTTTCCTTTTATAGGCCAAAATGAAGGGATTCAAAAACTATGTCACTTCTGCTGTCATTTTGCCAGAATCCATCCAAACTTAACTCTTGATCCTAACTGCTTTTTCTTGCACTAAACATGTTCCTCCCTCAAGATTACCACCCCATCTTGGTAATAGATCCACCACATTATGCAAACCTGATATCTGGGAGTCATTATACCCCTTTCTCTCTCTGACCTGCAACATCTAATCTATCAAGACCTATCAACTTTCTGTCTTCTACACTGAAACATGCTGTCAATGGAGAATATTCACTGTGCTTTATGGCTTCCCAGCCACACTATTCTCGTTTTTGGAGAATATCCCACATTATGGATCCCTCTCCCACATTAGAAGCTAGCTACTTAATTTCCCTAGTCTCTCATGGTTTGTTCTCTGCCAATCAGATACATACATTTGAGATTTCATTCATAAGAGAGCCATGTGAGAAGGCAAGAATCCATTTTCTGGCAAGGATGGCAGTGGAGGCTTCAGCTTTGGGTGATAAAACTTGCATCGTTTTTAGTATATAGCACTCAGGGTCAGTGATGTAAGCAAAGGTGTGTGGTACTAGTAGAGCAGCAGTGAGTCTTCAGAGAAGCAATCTTCTGGTGATGGTTGAGCATCTTGCCTAATTGGGTAGCCTCAAACACAGATTCTCTGACTCTCCCAGAAATTCTAGGAATGACCAAATAGCCTTTAATAAATTGCTTTCCTATTTAAGCTAGCTTAAGTGGGTTTTATTGTTTGCTACTATAGATACAGCAATACACTGGTCTTTTTTTCAGTTCCTATGATATAGCAACCAAAGTCTCATGTCCTCTCCATCTCTGTAATCTGTCCTCACAGTTACCATTTTTTAAACATCATCTTAATTGCTAAATA